GTCCCCCGCCTCTCCTGACCAGTCCTGCTCCCCCGCCGACCCCCTCCTGGCCAGCCCCGCTCCCTGTCGGCCAGTTCCCCCACAGCCAGCCCGACTCCCCCCAATCTGCTCTCGGCCAGCCCTGTTTCCCACCAACGGTTTCCCTCCGCCTAGCCCCTCTTCCCCCGACCTCCTCCCAGCCAGCCCCACTCCTCTCCCGGCCAGTCCCCCCGCCCCCATCTGAGATCAAGTGTGTCCGGTATTTTTCTGAATTCATCTAGTAACCCTATCTAAAATCAGTGACCTCCTAATCAGCCAAACAGTTTAACACACAATCTATTTTTCTTTATTAAAACAATTTTTTAAAGCAAAGTTTATTTTGTTGGTGGTGGGTTTTGTTTTTGAATAGGGCAGGAAGATAATCTGTGATGCCCTCAGGAGCTCATCATTCCATCTTGCTTTGAAACCCACACAAATGCCTATGCCATTTAGCTTGGGAAGTTGGAGGAATAATCACTAAACAATGAAAAACACTCATTTTTTAGGAGCTAGCTGCGCTGCTTGCCTAAGTATCAACTCATTTCCCATGAACCCTGGAAGCAGCGTTATTAGTTTTATTTGACACTATTTTTTTCTTGTCAAGGAATCCCCCATCTCCTGCATATCCAACAGCCTGAAGAAAAACCCTTTAATTACAGATATAGAGATGAGTGAGCATCACTTTGTTAAAAACAAACAAACAAAAAAATCTAGAAGTAGAAAATCCAATGGAGGTGGCAGACAGATTTATCTAAGGGTACGTCTTCACTTGTTCCCTAGTTACTCAGGAGTAACGTTAGTTTGAACCAAGGGGTCCCGGCGCGCACTTCCACTTTTGAAACAGCTGTCGAGTGGCGTAACGTGCTGGCGAGATCATGCTAATGAAGCGCTGGATATTTAAATTTCAGTCACCTACACTGCATCCCTAGCTCAAACTAGGGAGCAAGTGTAGACCTATCCTAAGAGTTTCTGATTTTATTAGTAAATTAAAAAAGCCAAATTCAGTTTTTCTAGGGCTTGTTTTTTTTTTTTTTTTTTTAAAAGAACCGCATCTAGACAGTGGTTTCACTTTCGAAATACCTGTTTTTGAAAGAACGCGCAGCTGTCATTATGCAAATGAAGTGCAGGAAATTCAAATCCCGGTTTTATTTGCAATTTCGATGTGTCTAATTTACATCCCTCTTTCAAAAGAGGGATGTAGTCTAGACATAACCCATATGTATGTGAATGGGGGCTTCACAGGTACATTTGAGGGCAGAATGTAACTAAAACTGATTCTCTTTTTGGTTGTTACCACAGATATACAAGGTAAACATCTGTCCCTTGATAAACAGCACTTGATTCAGAAGAGATTAGTTTTCTAAACCAAACAAAAGTGAGACCAAATAAAAGTATTCTTTTTGCTTCCCATTCACAGGGATCTCTTACCCACGGATAATTCCACTCAGATAGCTCTTCAAGAGCCTCTGAAAAATAAATATTGTATCTAAACACAGCAAATATCTGCTTCTTCACACATATTACATTGGTTTTAGTACATTTTATTGCTAAAAAGTATAATTACCTGCAGCCTTTGATATATAACTCGTGCCCAAAAGCTACAACGTTGATTAAAATCACCAACCTGCCATACAATTTAAAACAGAAGTTTAGACATATAAGATATTATAAACCTATACAATTAATAATACAAAATACCTGTTATTGAACCTTTAAAAAAGTTACCTGAAGAATTTCCTTTAGACTATGCACAGTTGGGGGCAGGTACAAATTAGAAATCCGGCCTTCCTCACTTACATTAGCATGTCTTGTATCTGGTTGAGTTGTAAGAATGTAACAGAAGCTGGGAGGAGGAAGGTTACTTTTAATCTATTGAAAATAAATAAAAGAAATACAAGAATTAAAAATATTTCAATATGACCAAGATAAATAATAATACTTAGAACTTACACATTATAAAATATATTTTCAAAGTGGTATGGAAACATTTATCTTATACTCACAACACCCCTGTGAAGTAGGAGCAAATCAAAAAGTAATGCTTCCACAAAATAAGTGAAATTAGTTTGTAAGATTTGTCTTTTTTTTCCTCATTTGACTTTGATCCGTGGACAAAAATATACAACACAACTAGTCACCATTTATGCCTGCTTTGTGCAGGCAAGTTGTGAGAGTTTGAATTCTATGATTTTCATGTTTTCAGAAACGATGTATTACTTCTGAGATTTGGGGATTTTTTTGCATGTGGGTGACAGTAAACATCTGAAGCAGCTTTACTGAGAACGTTGAAAGATGCCAAATTAAATCCTGGGCAGCACAGGGAGAAAATGGAGAACAGAAATTCAGCAACAACATGAATTTTTCTCTGTGCTAGGACCAGCTCTTATTTCCCTTAAGCATTTATAAGATGGAATATTTTCTCAGGATTCAGGGTCGTCTCTACACTTTTATTTATCAGTTTGTAAAATTCTACTCTGGGGATATTGTTTGGGAGTTAGTGAAATACTTTATATAATACAAGAAAGCTGGATTAATGAAAACAGCTGTTCACCCATTAAAAATAAATTACATATAAGAAAAAAATATGTCAAAATGAAATGTTTCCTTTTGACTATATAAAAAAAGATAGTTTGGTGTACATATGGCATAAAAGAAGTCTATTCCAGAGACCTCTTCCTACAATAACATTTTTTCTCTTCAGCATCTGAGGAAGTGAGTAGTTCACGAAAGCTTGCGCCCTAATACCCTTAATAAATTTGTGAGTCTTTAAAGTGTCACCTGACACCTTGTTGTTTTAACATTATATTGTTATACATAATTTTATTTACATCTATAAGAATGTAAGTTCTAGGCACATTTATATCAATAATAAACGTATCAAAATTAGACATATCTCAAATAATGGGCATCGATAAAAAAATCATTGTGGCTTCTTCAAATATTAGGATCTGAGTTTATGAAATACACTTGAAGTGTGTAACAATGGAAAGTTTCCTTTCTTTATTGAAAAGTCTCAGAGGGGTAGTGGTCAGAATCTCTTCAGCATGCAAAGGAAGTTAGAATAGTCCTGATTTTGACCTGTAGAACATCCTTGTCCTTTCTGAGTTCTACCATTATATTTTCTAGTTTGCCTTTATAGTGTCTGATCTAATTTGTATTTCTTGGAGGAGGAGAGGACTACAAAACTAGTAATCCATGGTGTCTGCCACCATGAAGTGTGTAGAAAGTTAATGGTGAGGTAGTTACCACCTACAGTGGTGGATGAGATCAAAGTATTGGCCTAAGGAAGGGATGGGCAAAATCTGGCCTGCCAAACTGCTGCATCTGGCCCGCTGCCTAGTGGGAGCCTTAGGAAGTCTCCCTGCCTGCTGCACCCTTGCATGCATGTCAAAGCATCTGGCTGTGGGGCTATGCATATCTCTATGCACTCAGGGGGGAGGGTTTTGTGTACTGCCCCTACTTCCAGCACAATCTTGCAGCTCCCACTAGTTAGAAACTGGCCTTACTTGTGGCACAGGCTGTGCATGGAGCCCCTCCCCAAAGGATCACACAGTACACAGAGATGCACATGGCCCCTGCATCCAGCCACACTGAGCAGTGTGTGTGAGTGTGGCCCGCAGGGAGCCTGCCTCAGGGTCCTGCTGGGCTGCGCCAGGAGCCACCTAAGGTAAGTACCTCCCAGCCAGAGCCTGCACCTGGCAGCCTTCTTCCCTTTCCCCAGCCTTCTGCTCCCAGTCCTGCACCTCTGTTCCAGACTCACAACTCAAACCGCTGCTTCCCCACCCCTGCATTCTTGTCCCAGGTCATAACCCTCTCCCAGACCTTGAATTCCCTTCTACACCTCTACTCCAGGTCAGAATTGTCTCCTGTAGCTATACCCATATACCTTCCCAGGCCCTGCACCTCCACCCCCTACCCCTGGTCACAAGCTTCTCCTGCTCCAGCTTATAACCCAAACCTTCTGCAGCCCCAACTACACCCTAATCCTCTACCCAAGCTCCCTTTTGCACTCAACCTCCATCCCAGACCCTGCACCTTCTTCATTAATATAATGGAAGAGTGTGACCCTTGACTACTTACAAATTCTTGCAGTGGCCCCCTAACAAAAATTATTGCCTACCCGTGGACTAGAGCATAGCTGGCTGAAAGGACTGGGAGAATCTGACACACCAAAAACATGTGCACACTCTACATGCAAGAACATTATGCATGAAGAAACACAGTTCAATAATTATACATCTTACCGCTTCACATTCTTGACTTTGACCAGGAACTTTCAGAGGTACTAATGGAGGCCACAAACTGTCTATCAGACTGAAAAGTCCCAGTGCCCTAAGGGAAAAAAATATAGCCTGGTTCAAAATGTTTTCAGTTTAACATGCTGCTTTAAAGACATTTAATTTGAATCTTCATATGATAGTGAAAATAAATGTAAGTCACATTTGTTCATCAGATGTTGGGGGTTTGGCTGGCCTAATTTAATCCCTGTGATTTCTACTGCAGAAAGAGGGAGGAAAAGATAATTAACTACTGAATATTGAAGTTTCATTTAATTCTTTGCCTATAAAAAGATACAAGATTACTGTTAAATGCTCCAAGATACATACCAATTCAGTTCCTTATTCAAAAGAGTTTTCAATCTAGAACATTTGCAATAAGCTGAGTAAAATGCTATTTGACAATGAACTAAATGGTTTTACTTTCTTATTTTCCTCTGACTTTGGAGGTATATTGGCCATAGAATCTTTTGAGAAAGCCAGGAGAGATCTGAAATTCTAGTGTAAAGAACAAACAGGGTTTGCTTTTATTTATTTTTAAAAATAACTCCAAGCCTTCATTATACATAGTAAAGAATCACAAATGGAATAGTCCCATTTTTTATTTTTCATTTGCAGTTCATTCTTTATCCATTTTTTAAACTAAGGATTCTATTTTTCATTTAGAAACCTACATACAAAATGGACACACTGCCTGGACAAATGGATTGTGGTAAGACAAGTTTTGGATAGAGGAATAAGACAGAAGAAAACTATGGGTGAACACAAATTTTCATTTTTTTTATAATATTGTACTTTGCTCTTTAATGTCTTTCATTCAACGATCTCAAAGATCAGCATTCACAAAGCTGATTTTACTGGGCTGTGTAACCTTTGATATCCCTTCTACTATTAGCCATGCTTTTCAGATGGGAAAAATATGAAACAGCAAAGTTGAATACATGTCTCTCATAGAGCCAGGATGAGAAAACAGGCTTGTTTACATCGGGACACTTGGACAAGAAAGACAAATTGCAACTTTACAGAAGTATAAAGTTAAAGCACATTAGTTACAGTCCATTAAAGCCCTGTGTGATCATTCTCATTTATAAGAATGTGATCTTGATATTTGTGGGAAGCAGAATGGTCTCATGGCTAGTGCAGGGAGCTGCAGCTGGGGATTAAGCTACAGGAACCAAAGCAACCTCTTTTCTGTATAGGAGACAGCACACAGAGGTTAGCATACATGTGGAGTTCTCAAAGTGGGAGTGGAGTAGTTAGCACAAGTATGAACTATAGCAGCTCAGCTGCACAAATGGCCCATGTCCTGCCTCCAGGACCCAAGGGAGGTGTCTGTCTCCTCCCAGATGCTATGCTGGTGCCTCACACAGGTGGTGTGAAGTTTGCCCTTATTACTGACTTGTCTTCTCATTCATGATATAACCAAGGAAAGGCAACTGACTTTTCTTTAAAGAAGTATACAATCCAAAGAAGCCTATCTTGATTGAACTAAAAGCACCTACCTACACAGTAATTTACACTATTTGTTTACAAATTCATTCAGGGAAACAAATTTACTTAGCAACTATCTATGACTAAATATCTTGGCCTCACGCTTTCCCTTGATGTTACTAGTCAGACTAGTTTTGGGGGGTGTAACACCAGCGGGATCTGCAAAGGTAGAAATCACTGTACTTGCTCTATCAGGCTGGAAATTCTGTTCTGGAGTTTTGTGGCAGTGCTGGGGGAGTGTCAGTCACTGCCCCTTGCAGAGGATCTGCTTCCCCACCCAAATGGAGGTCAGGAGACATTGCATTTGCCTATCTACACTCCAAACAGTCATGGACTTTGCTTCCTAGATAGCTAAGAGAAAAGGGTTGGAAACAACATAGGGACTATATCCCCTCAGAACACATGAAGTTAACCCTGCAAAACAAGCTGGTGCAAGGCTTATGCAACCCTCATGTCCCACCTAAGCCCAACTTTCAGGATTAAGTGATGCATAAGCCCCCAGAAAAAGACTGTATTTCACCGAATATTTGTAGCACTCTATGGAACTGAGTCAAACTCTAGCTGGTTTTGTGCTGCAGTGAAGTGTTAGGGGTTGACCCACAGTGAGTAAAGAATCTCTCGGGCTATGTCTACATTGTACATTCTTACATAAGAAGATATGCAAATGCTGCATCTCATTTGTATACATAATGAGCCGCCATTTTTGCACAAGGGGCTTTTGTGCAAGAAGGAACAGTCTACACTGCTCAAGAGCCGTTCTGCCTGAAAATAACCTAACGAGCCGCCATTTTTGCACAATGTAGACATAGCCTCATTGTATAACTAGAAAGGATTTTTGCTGTAATTTGAGGGGTGTGTGTGTGCATGGAAGGGGAGAATAATGACAGTATTTTCTGAACATTTTCATGACAATGTTTTTGAATGTTTTCATAACCAAGGAAACAGGCAAAACAAAAGAGCCAACAGGTACAAGTAAAAAAATGAATCTTATTTTGAATTATGTTCTTCTTACCTAAAGAAAAGAAATCTAAACTAATACTCTATATTCTTCATTCAAAATAAAGGATTGAATCCCTTTAGTAAATTAAAACAAAGAAAACCAAAAACCCCAATATAAACTTAACAAATGGGATCATGCCAGCATCTTAATAAGAAACTAAAATACACGTGTGGAACGAAAAAATTCTTCCATTCCAAGGTGACCGTGGAAATGTATTGTCTATCAATAACCATAAATAGGGTCCTATCAAATTCGTGGTCATGAGAAACGAGTCACGGGCCTTAAAATTTGGCCTTTTGTGTGTTTTTATCTTGTACTACACAGAGTTCATGGGGGAGACGCAGTTTCTTAAATAGAGGTTTCTGATCCAAAAAGGAGTTGCAGGGTGGCTCTCAAGGTTATTTTAGCAGGGCCACGTTACTGTCACCCTTACTTCCGTGCTGCTTTCAGAGCTGGATGGTCAAAGAGCAGTGGCTATGTCTGGAGAGTGGAGACTAGTGGCTAGGTGCCCCACTCTGAAGGCAGTGTCCTCCCAGCAGCAACACAGAAGGGTAGCAACCACCCCTACAATAATCTTGCATCTCCCCCAAACGCATTTGTGTGTCAGGACTCCTAAAATTACAACACCTGACATTTCAGATTTAAATAGCTGAAATGAAATTTGATTTGTAAAATCTTGACCATGAAATGGAACATAATTTGGTAGGGCCCTAACCATAATATATAAGAATGCAGGGTCTAATGGTCTTATGATACAGGTCAACTCTCTGTGTCAACTGCTCACCCTTTATCTTTCTAGTTCTGTTCATACCCCACACCATTAGGAACTGTTCACATTTGCTTTTAATGTCCATGAAACTCGTAAATCATTATTTATAGCTTCACTTTGGAAAGCTGAACAAGCTAAGCTGCCTTTTTTTTTTCTTAAGATCAGTTACCTCAAGCTGTTCTGTCTGAATCCTCAGTGCTGGTTGAGGTTTTAATAAGCCATATTGTTAAACAAGTTGAACACATGGTTGACTGAATGGAAAAAACAACAACAAAAAAAGAACCCACTACCGCCTGCTTGTGCAGAAACAACTCGTGACCTATTTAATAAATCATCTTAAACCACCGAATGGAACAATTACTAGACAATAGATGTTAATATGAACACAGACAAGTATCTGCCATCCCCACCCTGTTGGAGAAAGAATGTGCTGCCCCAGTCTGAGGTTGCTTTCATTTACACGTCTAACCACCTCCCTCCTCAGTTTCACATTTCAGCAGCATAATCAGGAAACACAAACCACCTTCTGCTTCTTACCTTTTGTCTTTTACTGTGTTGTAATCTTTGATTTTTTATAAAGAAGGTAGATATTATTAACATCTCTTTAACAGATGGGTGAGCTGAGACTTTGACCTTGTTGACACTAGAGACATTGGTGGTAAATTTCCCACCATTGCAAACTCCAACAACATTGGAAGCCCTAATAGAGACAGGTGTTTTGCTGCTGATAACCTTTTGGCGCCACGTCACCTCCTCCTCCAACCTAGAGAAATTCTAACTGATGTGCTCCTCCTGGGTTTCTAGATTAGATAGATATTAGTTTTTATGCAGCAAAATGAAATTTATAAATATTTTTTACTTAGATATCATTTCACAGCAAATTCAGGAGAATGGATAAAGAGCAAGAATAAAGACCAAGACAAAAGAAGAAAAGGAAAAGGAAGAAAAGACGGGAGAGAATGGGTCTATAGGTATGTCTAGACTGCAGGCTTCTTTCAGAAGAAGCTTTTCCAGAAGAGATCTTCCAAAAAAACTTCTGAAAGAGAGCGTCCACACTGCTAAAGCGCATAGAAAAAGCGATCTGCTTTTTCGAAAGATAGCATCCACACTGAATGGACACATTTAAGTTGTGATTGCTAAGGACAGAATGGCCACCAGAGCACCTGTGCTTTCTCCTCTTCTTTCGAAAGAACTCCCTCTTTCCAGTCCACACACATCTTTTACCGAATGAGCTCTTTTGGAAAAAGGCTTTTTCCTCGTAGAATGAAGATTACCAACGCTGGAAAAACTCTCTGTTCTTTTGATTTTCTTTTGGAAGAATGTGATTGTAGTGTGGACGTAACTGAAGTTTTTTCGGAAAAATGGCTGTTTTTCTAAAAAAAAACCTCTGTAGTGTAGACATACCCAACGTGAACTAGCAAAAGGCAAGATGATAGGTAATGTAATGGTTGACTGCATGGAAAAAACTAAAACAAAAAAATAGGTGTTTCAGGATCACTAAAGGAAAAGTGCAGTAGTCCTGATCACAGCTGGAATTGGAGGAGAAAGTAATATTTGAAGAGGATATTCTTCTTTCACTTCCAGCTAGAGAACTTCACATCTTATGAGAAAATTATATTCCAACCCTGTCTAAAGACCAAAGATATTAGGTTAATTACTCAAACTGAATCTTCAGTTTTTTGGCTTATTCATTAATACCAGAGAACAGAGTAGCAAATATCTGGCATTCACACCATCTTTCTTTTGGCTAACGCTAGCAAATGGCCCTGTTAGTTTTCCAGGGAAAAGACCATCA